TGGGTGTGTGTGTGCGTGTGCACGCGTGTGCACCCTGGCAGACACCAAAGATGATTTTCTTTATCACCGCTTCGGGCTTTGGCAATCAAACTAGAGTCAATGTTTTATTCCATCATCCAGAGTTGACCAGATGCCTTGGTTGTGGGCTCTTACAGGCAATAGCTTGCTTGATGGACATGAATGCGTTGTTGGACAGATTTCACAATTACATCTTACCGCATCTGAGAGGGGAAGACCGAGTTTGTCACTGCAACTGTGGGAGGTAAGTTACCTGCATCCCACCCCTCTCACCTCTCCCCTCCAGCCCCTTCCCTGCTCATCTCACTGGAGGGGCACAGCGAGGTGGTGGCCCTCAGCAAGCTGCTGCTGGCTGGGCTACCATTTTTGCATTCTGGCTGTGTCTCACCTTCTTCAGCAGCTCCTGCATGAACACATGGGTGGTTTGGGTTTGTTTTTTTTTTTGCTTTTCCGGAAGAAGAGTTTTCCGTGGGCCTGGAAGTCCATTTTCCTTTGTGTGCATGCTTGTGTATATGCGTCTTCGAGCCCTGAGAAAGTGAGTAACTTTCGTTTAAACGCTTGTCATTTTGCCTTTGTCGTCACGGGGCCGTGTTGTTTCCCGGCGTGTCTGTGGTCTGGGTGTTGCAGTCGGTGGCTGCGTGGCTTGAAGGGAACGAGGTTTGGAGAACCGTGAGGATCTGTGTCTGGGAAGGAGTGCGGCTGCCTAGGACAGTGTCACTCGGAGGCTTTGTAATCTTCGATCAGCTTTTAATTCTCTGTGGTTTCCCTCCTGGGAGTTGTCATGCAGAAGCTGGGCAGAGCACACCAAGGTCTGTGGTTTTGTGGAGCGTTTAGTGAGCGTCGGGGTGAATTCGTGCCGGGAGTGATGCCTTTGCTGTGCACAAGTTTATGACTGGACAAACAGCCACCTCTCCCTCAATTCTGCCGGACGACGCAGCGCTTCTCGTGTCGTGTGCGATCGCTGAGGTGCCCAGCTCGCCACAGGGCTTTGGCTGCTCCCTGCGTTGGAGCCTGATTTTCGGGGAGGGGAATTGCTCTCTTCTTTGTGGGACCGTTGTGGGTGATCCCTACCCTGCGCTCCTCAAGGCCTCATCCCCCTCCTGTGCCTGGTTACTCACTGCCTGCCGGAGAGTTTCTTGTCTGTGGGGGAGTAAAGCAGCGCGAGGCTGTGCCAGCTAAAGGACATACTGGGGGAGCCCTCCCCTGCCACATCCAGCGTTTAGATGGAGCTTCACTCCTCTTGGAGCTGCCTCTGGAGCCGGCTGCATCCTGCCTCCCCGGCGTCACATCCCTCTGGCAGCCCTGGCATGGAAGCCAAGCTGAAGCCGGGATGTGCATCGCTTACTGAAGGGAAACTGCTTTGCCCTTCCGCTCGGCTTCGCGCACCGAAGGTGATTGTTACCTTTCTCCCCGCGGTTCCTCCTCGGGCTCCTGTGGCGAAACAGCAAAGAAGGTACAAGCAGCACCTCGGGGCCAAACGCGGGCAGGCCCTGAGGGGTCTAGCAAGCAGCCCCTGCGTCCCTGGCTCCTTGGGCACCCCAGGCACCCCAGGCACCCCTATGTTAAGGTCAATTGGGAAGACTGTGGACAAGAAACATCCACTGGCGCCTTTGACTTATTTTTTGGCAAGGGATTAGCTTTTCCTCAAGTATTTTTATTTGAGTCCTCGTGATGTTTTTCAGTAGCTGCGAGTTTTCCTCTGCCTCTTCAACCAATTTTTTGTTTTCGCTTGTCACAGCTGTGTTCAGTGGGGGTGAAAATCGAGTTTAACATCATCTGAAGCGACTGAGGAGTGTCAGGTCTCTCTGGTGCTGTTGGCAGAGTGTCCCTCCTGCCCAAGCCTGAGAAGGTGGCAGGGGCACTCCTCTCTCCTCTGACTGTCTGTCTGCAGAGATGCTGTTGAGACAGATAAATTAGCCATGGCACTCTCCCCAGACATACTTAGGTCATTTCTTAGAAAGTGCACAAACCCGCTTCCAAATTGTCAAGCACGCATCTGAGAGGAGGTGAAAAGCGAAAAGTTTACCATTTGCCCTAGGTATGGGTATGGAGAAGTAACGGCTCTTGCCGGCAGAGCCAGCGTACCCGTCTCTGCTCCCGGGCACGGGCTCTTGTTGGGCACGAGCGTTGGTGTCAACACGTCCACGCTCCGACGTAGGAGGCGCTTGCACAGAGCCTCAGCTAAGGTTTGGTCTGTGATCCTCACCAGCTCTGACCTGCTGCCCCAATGCCAGCGTTCAGAATTCTTTGATTTAAAATGCAGGTGATGCTGAACGTGCCCTATCCTTTTTTTTTTTTTTTTTTCTCCCCAGCTGGTCTGAGTGCAGGCCTCTGGCGCACATAGCCTGAGCCGTAAGCGATTTGGCCTCGTGCTAGGCAAGGGATGCGTCCTGGAGCACGTTGTGAGCAGTGGTACTAGCGATCGGCAAAAGGCTCTTAATTTGCCAGTAACCAAAGGGAGTCCTTGGAGGAGGGGCCTGGCTGCAGTTCAGTGTGTTGCAGGGAGGAATGGGGAAAATGAGTAAATGTTGCAGAAATGGAAAGGAAGGAGGAATTGGAATAGATGAAGATTGACGTGCAATAGGCTGAGCTGCTGCGACGTTTTTTCCCTCCTGCCCTAGCCCAGGTTGTAGTGTCAGTCACACCAACTAATTCATTCAGAAATGTTTTCCTTCCATCCTGGTTGTATCCTTCCTCAGGGTATCAGAGTTGACCTCTTCCCCAGGTGTGGTCTAACACCTTCAGGCTGGATTGGGAGTACCTGGCCGTGCTCTCCAGACAGAATCAGAACCTGTGCCGAGCATCGTTGTGTCACTGAGAGGGGCTGGAACTCTTGCCGTGCTGGTGGTGGCTCCACTCAGCGAGGCCTGATTCGGTGTGTGTCCCACGCACCAGCCAGGTGTGCCAGGGGATTTGGGGCTCTATGTCCCATCTTGTCCCTGCAAGGCTCAAGGGGAAGGAAAAAAAATCCCAGACTTCAGCCTTTGGCTGTCCCTGCTGCTCTTTGATGCCCTTCCCAGGCAGGACACCGGGCAGACTGCAGCAGCCCTGCCCGTTCGGCTCTTGGCTCACAGGCTGGGAAAGGCAGATCTGTGCCCCTGGCAGTGGGATGGGGGCCTGGATGTGTTTCCAGCTCCCTCTCCTCTCTTGGTTCTGTCTACACTTTTTTGCTCCCTGGGGAGGAGCGGCAGTGACAACAGTGAGTCTCCTGCCAGGGTTGGTCTCTGGTGGGGGGTGGCAGGCAGCAGTATGAGCCCTACCCAGGGGTGCCCAGGCTCTGCTCACATTTGCGGGCTCCAGGCTCATTAGAGTCACCTGGGTGCGTGGCCAAGCAGGGCTGTCTCCTCAGAGAGCTCTTCAGGTTGCACGGAGGTTGTGGCTGGGTGTCTCCTCATGGGCAGTGACAGGTCTTTCCCTGGACTCTGCCTGTTCTCCTCTCCATGGGGGACTGGGTCTAGCAGGAAGGTCCCAGGACAAGTGGAAGGGAATCCTCACCGGGGGCACCCTGCCCACTTCTTCCTGAAATGCTCTGCCTCACCAAGGGGGCCTCATCTCCTGCAACTGGGGAATACACTTGGGTTTTGTCCCCATGTTTCTAAGCGCTCGGTGTGTTAGTGGTGACTGAGTAGAGTCACTGGGATCAAGACATTTGGAGAAGAAAACCCCAGCCCCATCTTCAGGTGCTGCTGAATGCAGGACACTTGTCACTGCTGGGGCTGCTGTCCCCTGCCCTGCGGGTTCCCTGGGGCTGCCTGAGGCTGAAGCTGCTGCTTGTTGCTTTACACCAGAAGCAAGGCAGCCCTGGTGGGTGCTTTTGAGGTCTGTGGTGTCAGAAGGGAGTTGTGGCTTCTTGCTGGACACATGAGGACCGAAATGCTGTGAAGGCTGCACTGTGCAAAGCTTTTAGCAACTGCCTGTGGCTGCGGGGACTTGATCCCGTGGCTGGCTGGCTGCGCGATGGGAGGCGATGCTGTCTGGAGTTGCACATGCGGATCTGATGCATGTTTGATGCATATTTGCAGTCTCTTGGGTAGCAACATCCACTGAGCCACTCATTTCAGTTTAAGCCTGGGCTGGACGGTGCCTCTGCCATAGGAGCGGTCCCACTCCGAGTTGGATGTTCCTCTGGGCTGTGAGTGGGAGCAGCTGTGCTCCAGCTGTTCGGCTGCACTGGTGCTTCCCCACTCAGATGTCCAAGGGGGAGCAACACTACCAGAACCCCTGAAGCCAGTCAAAATTCAGTGGGAAAACAGTCCTGCCCGTCACTTGGGGAAGGGAAGCTGGTGTAGAGACGGTGCGTGGAGTGAGAACATCAGCAGGGAGGAAGGTCTGGCTCTGGCACCTGGTGCTGCTACTGAGCCTGCACAGACACACCGTGTGTGACAGGGACTGTTCCTCTCCTAACATCTGCCTTCTTGCTGGGGGATGAAGGGGTGACAGCCACATTTACACCTATGCTGGCTCCTGTTGATGCCGTGCTGGAATGTGCATGCTGGAGCAGATCCCTGGAGGAGCTTGGCACTCTGTGTCCTCAGCATGTGGAGATATTCGGGCTGTCCAAATCACTACGCTGGGGCCTGTCTGCATGCAGGCAGCCCTCCTCCTGTGGTCCTACCTGTTCCCAGGAGAGAGCAGGGCTAAGGGGACTGCAGAGGCATAGCGCTGCCCCAGTCCCAGTGTGTCTGTCCCAGCCAGCAAAGGGTCCTCTCTGGAAGCAGAGAGCTGGCAGCAGATCAGGAGCTGGGTGATGTCATGCAAAGGAAAAACACCAAAGGGCGTCCGTGGAGGCAGGGTGTGTTGGAGACAACAGATGACACCTGCATGGAGTAAGGACCAATCAAAACAGCGTGGGGGGCTTGGAAGTTCCCTGTCTGGGAAAGGGTGGGGGACCTCAGGAGCTCTGGCGTGTATTCTCCTTGCCACTGACCTTCTGAGTGACCTTGGGTGAGTCTTGCCCTCTCAGGCCAAGTCCCTCCCCGTAAGTGGGGTTAGAAAGGGCCAAGAGCAGCATCAGCCTTCCCCGAATGCCCACCCACCCTGCAGCAGAGCTCAGCACCTCCACGCTTAGGGCAGGGACAGCCCTATGCTGTCAGGAGGCACACAGGGAGATATGGTTTTCCTCCTTTCTCTGGAAAAACTGTTAAACCTGTCCCCAGGTCCTCCGTGGATGTGCTGGGAGTGCTCGTTGCCTGGTGCTGGAGACCACCAGGTCTTTCTTGGGCTTTTGGTAGCTGCCACAGTGCCAAGGGTCCCAGGGAGATGTTTTCACCTGTGCCATCCACGCTGGTCTTCAGATTGGCTTTGCTGGTGTGTTTGGGGAGAGGCTGCAAGGTCAGACAGGGATGCAGAACAGGGATGCTCCGCACTTCCCTCTAGATCCACTTTCAGCCCCTGCCCCGTGTCGGGCATGCCTCAGGGCTGGCCAGCAAGGCAGCGTAAGCCACATTCCCCCCAAATCCTGCTGCAGCTGGAGATGGGGAATGGGTCAGTCTGGCCGCGTTTGTGACAG